ATTAAGACGATTTGGTGCCGGGAGCACTGAATTATATATGTGAGGTGAGGTGAAATGGGGTTTAACGTCGCGTCCAAGATTATTGCACTTATATAGCGACTTGCATGTACGTCCCTGTGTTTGTGTGGCTGCTTGTACTAGTCCGGACTGATGACGATTTATAGTGCTAGCTCACTGAAATACCATGCCGCAGTTTAACATGAATACCCCACTCAGACATAGTATACTGACTCCGAGCCGACCAGTCCTTGTTTTAGCCCCTTAATGCCGAGCGTCAGACAGGGAAACAACAAGTTACGTCTTTTGCTATGACGCGGTAGGGGATCGAACCCCGGACCTTCGGCTCTCCAGGCGGACGCTCTACCACTAGACCACGGAGGCGGTAATTATATATGTAGTAATGATGGTGCGCAATGCTAGGGTGTCATGCACTTGACATGCGGTAACATGGCTCACGCTGCATTATTCATGGTCATATCCAATGTTCATGCACTTTGAACTCCGATTGTGTCCAAGCTGTTCACACGCGCATGTATTTCTCTTCTTTTGTTCATGAATATATGAAGGCTTTTGTCGCTTTTATATACACGTCTCAGTTCTACTTCAGTTGGAATCGTAGAATGGACGTTGCTTTTAGAAGATATTTCTTTGGATTGGATTGGATTCGAATGTTATGTACTTCAATGCAATATAGATGTAATGACAAAAAGAAGACGTTGACAGTCTTTCTTACCAGCGAACTGCCAACGTCAATGTGTTAGGTCTGTATCCGGCATCCCAAAGACGTCGACTCAGCCATGGTCACAAGAAGAAGGCGAAGTTAATTTGGAAGATTTGTTCCTTCAGGAACCATTGGGACAGCACAAAGTAAGAACAAGACTGTATTCTGTGTCACTGAGAGAAATGAAACGACTCCAGCGAGTCTTGCAGATGGGTGCATCTACGTACAGTAGGAGCCCACAGCATCGACTAGAGAGTATAGTTCTTGAAATAGTTCCAGAAACAGACTCCACGAAATCAGACTAAGATCGCATGTTCTTCAATTTTAAATTTGCCAACAAGGGAATCGATGCAGTCAATTTAAGTAACATTCTTAGATAAAAATCATTACCTAAAATGTCCCTCAATATTTCAATTTCAGGAACCATCAACAATTTTATTTTCCCATACGAACACCATTTCATCCAGGTTGTTCGATTATAGGAACGTGTCGCAGAACGTGGACTAAGCAGCTCATGATGTAAACTCCACTACTTGTGGCTACCAATACTCATTATACTTATACCAACTTATTGGTCATATGATCACAGATGACTTCTTTATTGTTGACAATAACAACTTTCGTCAGTTATTCAAAAATATTGACCAAAATATCGTAAGTCACCTCCTACGAATTGGGATCACTTCTTTTAAATCATTATGGATGCTGTCGAAGAATATTCCCCTAAAAAAGAGCAAAAGGAGAAGTGGGGCCTGTTTAAAGTCTTTCAGAGTGGGTTAAATCAGTGCGCGATGTTGTCATTGGCAGAATACACAAACTAAAAAAGAGTAAACATAATTGGAATAAATCCATTCTGTCCCATCCAGCTGTCATCTAAAGTCTGGTTGCCCCACATAAAAAGTGTCTAGTTGTTTCCACTGATAAGACCTCATTTAACATAACCATTAAACGTAAGCATCACAACATTAATTGTTTGATCAAACAACTTTGTATAAGGTATCACAAAATGCCACATATAAGGCCAGTATGGTGACCATTAGCCTTAATGCAATCAAGAAAGGACTTTCTATATATTCACAGAAAGTATTGGAGACAAGTGAGTGGAATTAATACCATGTGAATTCTCCAAAACTCACAGGATTTGTTTGACTGTTTTTAATCTCAGAAAAGAACCAAGTTCAGTTCTGTTAGTACATTTGATTTTTCCATTTTGTACACCACTACCCCGCATAATAAACCTAAGTGAAAAACATGTATAACACATGTATTTAGATTCCAACATTTCCATCTTTGCTTTATTAGACAATAAAAGTGACATATGCTGCGTGTTGTGTTTTTAGCAGACTGCCTTTGTGTATTTTTTTTACTGTTCAAAGGGGGCGCCGCGATTTGTCGTGCAGAGTTGCGTTCCTTGGGCACGCCAGAAACCCATGATTGTGGGTTCGAATCCAGGTTCGCAGCGATTATATTTCTAGGTTACTGTTAAAAAGCGGCGTTAAACCCAACGCACTCAATTACTGTTCAACAGTTATGAACTGATTATAAGCTGGAATTTATCATCAGTCATTGGTCAGTATTTTTCGGTTATAATTCACCTCCACGTTTTAGAATGGTTACGCGTGGCCTTCCACTCCGAGGATGGTCTGTGGCTGCATTCGTCTGTCGCCAACGTTGCCATTAACACCAAATGGTGTTTCTGTGAACGTTAAATTGTCTTGCAACATCACGTTGACTCGATCCTGCTTCAAGCATACCAATGGCTCGCAGACGCTCATTTTCGGACAGGCGTGGCATTTCGTAATGTTAAATAATTGCGTAATTTTTTTGTTGATGCTAAACAATACATATTGAATCCCGTTAACGCACATGTTTTTATACCCATTCTTGGGTAGTGAAATAGATTGGGCTTGCATGAAAGTCAACTTTTGCATGGAATACATGCCTTTCTGTAGCAGTTGCGTTTTTGTGACTTGATTCCATACATGTACTACAATGTTGAAAACCAAACATTACTTGTTTGAAAAATACACTAAAATATTGGTGTCACGGGACTTTTAATATTGAGTATATATATATATATCACTTTTAATTGAACATCGAGCTGTTTAATTCATTCCTATAGGAGAGGTATTGAAAACAGAAATGATACATGCAGCTACCTTAAAGTTAAATAGAATAACACCCTCCACACCCACACACATATAACTCTGTATAGAAACATATATATATGCCAGAGTAGAGACATCAGGGGCGGTATTCACAAAGCTTCTTAGAATTTTCTTAAGCCTTAAGAATTCTTAAATCTCCAAAGAAATCTTAGTTTCCCTAACAACCAACTTAAGTTTTAAGAAATTCCTTAAGTCATATTCACAGAGCTTCTCAGTGCTTAGTTCTTTGCTTAAGTTTAAGATACCTCATGAGCTTACTTAGTCCTTAAGAATTTTCTTAAGACATCTAATATGGCTGCCATAGGTATTGTACAAACCACCGCTAGACGAGATGTACTGCAAATATATTCTGACAAAGAACTAATCAGAAGATACAGGTTAAACAAAAGTGGTATTGAATATGTGACTGGGTTAATTGCTGATAAAATATGTCCTAGCACCTCTCGTTCTCATGCCATGACAGGAACTGAAAAGGTTGTAGCAACGCTACGTTATTTCGCTACAGGCAAAATGCAATTATGCAACGGGGATGACTTGGGTCTTTCCCAATCGTCGGTCAGTCGGGCGATAGAGCAGACAGTGTCAGTTTTGTCCGACGCCGAGATAGCATCCCAGTTCATTCACTTTCCGACAACACAGGGTTGCATTCGTCGGAATCAAGCGGCATTTTACAACATCGCTCACTTCCCTGGCGTTGTTGGAGTGATTGATGGATCGCATGTGCAGATTATTGCTCCATCTGTCGACGAACCCTCATATGTAAATCGTAAACAGTACCACAGTATAAACACACAGCTTGTATTCGATCCAAACAATATGATAATTGACCTTGTTGCGAAGTGGCCAGGCTCGACACACGACTCGAGAATACTCACCGAAAGCGGGCTTCATATTTTATTTGAACGACACATCGTGCCAACCGGATGTCACCTACTTGGAGATAGTGGCTACCCCTGCAGAAACTGGCTGCTTACGCCGTACCTGAGACCAAATCCTGGCTCACAGACATCCTACAATCGGTAATATTCTCCTACATTCGTGAACACGCAATCGTAATGAGAGTTATCCCCCTTCAAAATTACAAAAGTGAGAATTGGTTGTTCTGAAAAGTTTAAGTGTTCAAATGTGAAAAGATATTTGGTTGTGCATATATATATCGAAAGTGAACATTAAGAAATTACCCATATAAAAATATGAAATATATTTAATGACAGATAAGCAAGAAAAACATTTATGTTTAAAAAAACATAAAAAATATTCTAAAAATATATAGGTCAATGTGAATCACTTTTTACAAAGTATAAAAAAGCCTAAATATTTTAGTCATTACATCAAGTGACTAAAACATCTGTCCATTCACTTAACAGACTGGATAATCGTTATTGGAGTTCAAAAGGGCTTAGACACTTCACAATAATTATTGACTACTCATGTTCAATCACTGAGTGATGAAATAGAGCATAATAATGTTTGGATTTCATTATTATTATAAATAAAATGGACAGATTTTTTACTCAATTTGTAAGATAACTGAAACAAATTTGTGGAAATTCATTATGGAACACACTGACTGTAATACACACATATCTGTCGTGGAAAGAGGTATAGGCCAGCTCAAGAGACGGTTCCATGTCTTACATGGAGAGATTCGCCTTTCTCCAATTAAGGCATGTAAAATCATAACATGTTGTGGAATTCTGCATAACATCTGCAAGATAAGGAATATCCCATTACCTGACAGTGAGTCCAATGATCCGGATGAAGACATGACAGCCCCCTACAGAGAGAGAGATATTCCTGGCCACAACTTGACCTTCAGGAATCACTTTGCAAACACTCACTTTCAGTGTGAGTGATAATTCTTCTTTTAATTGAGTAAAACCACTATTTAATGAATTATATTCAACAACAAAAAATTTCAGTAAAAAAACAGTTTATTTTAACAAATAAGAGTATAAGAATCAGTTGATAAGGTTTACCTTTTTCAAAAATAATTCACAAACAATTTATTACAACTGGTTAATGAATTTAATATTGTTACTATAATTGTTAAATATTATATATAATTTGTGAATCTCAAGGATTCTTTAAAAAATGCTCAAGGGTTCAAATGCAATGCATTTTCCCAGTTTACTTACCTTGTATATGAAAATACATTTATCTTCTTGTAAAAAACATCTTATGACAGACAGATTTTATTGTAGTAAATTCAAAAGAACGATAGTACATAAAGTCTTCAATACATAATCATTGTTGAAAGTTAAGCACGTTTAAATTCTTCCTGCATTTCTTATACATATTTCAGAAATTTAGCAAATACATGTTGTAATACATATCACAATTTCTTGGAGTAACTGGCCCTGTTTGTCATATCAAATGCAGTGACACAGAATAAGATATTTATCCTCACTGGCCACTGGCCATAGATAACAATACTGTTTAGCACTGATAAACATACCTGTCAGGTGATAGTCTCAACAGATGGAGCAAGTACTTTCTACAATTAGTGACAGGCACCCCATAATGGACATCTTCCAGTTTCGCGATAAGTAACACAATATGATGACTAGTACCCTATTCCTAAAATAGATTAACAAAATCTTTTGTGGATCATTTTGACATTATCCTGAAATCCAATATTCTTATAAAAATATGAAAGGCATTCAACACAGATACACAATACTGTTCAATGAAATACTTAACTGGAAAAAGTGTGTTACAAGCTTAGTCAGCTAAGGTCTTACATTTTATTGATTTTATCCATATCATTGGCACCCAAATACGAAGATTTTGAACCCTGAAATGCAATGTTGCTGTAAGCAGAAGTAAAACATGAGAATATGGTTGAATGAAAACACATTCAAATTATGCCATGTTATCAATGTATCTATTGATAGAAATGACATTTCACACACTGTAACCTCACACATTAACCAATATTATATTATTGAAGATAAATTTAAACTGAAAAGGAGCATGGTTCTGTCACAATAGGTTTCAAATCTTTCTCTTCAAAGAATACATTACATTTTGAAAACATGGTAAACTCTCTGGCCTTAAAAAGTGATATACATAAATGGTATAGATATAAATTTTATTCATTCTGCAGTTTTTGAAGTTGAATTTCCATAATTTTCTTCTTAAGACTTAAACAATCAGTTTCAAGTTTAAGTTTCTTGTAGAGTAGCTCATCATAGCTTTCCCCATACAGGAAAGTTTGTCGCGAGGACTTTGGCTCCTGGACTGTGCTCCATCCTGCTGGTCTCTTCATGGATCCCTGTGCTGAGGAGGCGGTGTCTGGCACTGATGGTTCCGGCTGTAAAGGCACAGACACTGTTGATGCAGTAGGGACAGCTCCTCCCATGGCCTGGAGTGTCTGCAAGTCAAGTGCTGCCATATCACTGTATTCACTGTATATAAATGGACAGAAAATGTTTTAGTCATTGTTGTTTTTGAGTATCTATGTATCTGAATAGGGTAAAAATATGAGGTAATAATCAGTTTCAAACACATGGAGTATCAATAATTTTTAGTGATCCCTTCAAATACTTTTCACCACAATCTTGCACTTTGCAGGATTTGTTTAGGAAGATAATCTAGATTGGTTATTCTCTGTTATTGATGTGTTATATAATTTAATATGGATGCTTTTATAGTAATGTGTATGACCACTTATACACAGGAGGTACTTTGCTAACATAATAGTTTTTCATAGCAAATCATTTAAGTAGAGTTATGCTATATGAATGATTATACTCACTACAAGGGCAAGGGAATACATCAGTAGAATTACCTTGCATTAACTGTGTCAGAAAGGCTGACCACCTGTAGGAGGGATGTGTCCATGGCTGATGGGATTCCAGATATGGATACATTATCCTGCCCCAGAATATCCCACACTACCTCGGATGTGGCACTCAAATTAAAGTAGGGCATGGTGATGGACCACCACCTGTCGAAGTGAAAATTATTTTTACTTACATCAGAAAAATTGAGAATCAATGTGTTAAATAATACTAAATTAACAATTGAAGACAGCCTAAGAATTGTATATACATATGTAAATTCAAACTTTTAAGAATTGATTATACACTGTATGGGACACCAAAATGTACTTAAAGACACCAAATACAAATATTTTTACTTGAAAGCTAGAATAAACAATAATTGTAACACATTAAGATTAAATGTATCTCAGATCTGGTGATTTATGCACTGTAAAACTACTATTACAGTTCAGTGTTGCAAAATGTGAACTACAATAATTACCTGTGCTGATAACACCTTGCTTGTACCTTGCAATTTCTCCCCTGGCTTTACTTTGGATGTTATGCCATTTCTTTTCCACCTCCTCGGGGGCTCTGATGCATCCTATGATTTACATAAAAATATTCAATTCTCAACTGTGTAATGTAAATTTCAGAAATAAACGAATAGGTACTGGATGTGACACTGTAATATAACTGATAACCTGTACAATAACATTTATTTTTTTCTTTCCCTGAAAATAAATTTTATGTTAAATAAAATATAGATCTTATACAATACAATCTAGTTCTATACAAAAAAATCCTTCCGATTTTATGTGCGTTGCTGCTGTGAAAATTTGCAAAATACTAAAATCTTGAATAACAATAGAATTTTGAACATTATTTGAATCTTAATATATTTCAATACCAAAAACTATCTTTATGGTCTGCCGTACCTGGAAAGGCTGCGTTGATCGTGTGGGTCAACTCCACCCACTTTTCCTTTTTCTTTTGAGCTGTCACGCCTGCCCCGAACTTTCATAATAAAACCGCTTTGTTTTCGTCAACAAGTTTCGTCAGGAGCAGGTTTTGGTCCTCAGACCAGTTGGGTTTTCGCTTTTTGTCAGTCATGTTCGCTGGCTGCCGTCGATATTCCCGCCGATCGAAAATAGGTCGTCTGCCAAAACTTTTTACTTTCGCGTTTTCAACACTGAAGAGTCGTGTTTTGTTGCTATTTATAGATAAGGGAATGTCCAAAACGTCACTCGAAAGGTGTTAAGAATATTCTTAGTCAAAACTTTACATCCCAAGATGCAACGGGGTAGACTAAGAAAACTCTTAGATATTATACTAATACTTTGCTAAGAATCATGCTTAGACTGTTTGTGAATTGATACTTAAGATTTTTTCTTAGCTAAGAATTTTTTAGAAAACTTAAGTCAATTTCTAAGAAAATTCTAAGAAGCTTTGTGAATACCGCCCCAGGTCATGATCGGCCTTCATTGCTAATTCCCCTTTTACGCCCTACGGAATCAGTTTCCGCCGATAATTGAGATTGACTATTCTCCTGCGTTGATGTTTGATACTTATATTCATAGAAGCATAACATGCATGAGGTCACAGTTCGCAATATCACCGGGTGGCTGAAAGAACATATGCCACGAGATATGAGGTGACGGAGTAGTCACACAAGTCTCAGTAGAAGCTTGTCAGAGTGTGTGTCTAGGACACCTGTCGATAGTCGAGTCATAGCCTCATAGCCACCCCAAAAAGTCCTCAAGTCACCGAATGCATGATTTGATTGAGCAGTCAGCATGTCGTTAGATGAATAGTGATAATACATATTTATTCACAGAGTACATATGCAGACAAAGCGACCTTACCAAACAGTAAAATAAAACGTTATCTTCAAATGTAACCCATGGAACCGGCATCTTTAGTACATGATCATTAAAGTGTTCAATACGTCATAACACTGACAGACAGACAGACAGTTTTATTTGCATGAAGGCCATCAGACCCATATTACAAAAAGTTTCACAAGTACCATTTTACAGAGAGTTATTTCTGAATGGAAACAGGTGTTTTATCTTCCTGTGAAGATACAATTCAGGAACCTTGCAAAGTGTAACATGACATTAACATTTGTTGACTGGCATATTCTTTGTAATGAATAATAGTTAACACTTACAGTTTTAGGAATTAAATATTTCCGCTCACCATCGTAGAGCACACAGTGGCATATAACATGTATTTCGTCCTCAATTACATTACAATGATTGCACAAAGCATTTTGGTCATCCCATCTTACTAAACCTCTACGAACCAAGTGGATACCAAGGGTGGTATGACCATTTCTAAATTTAGTTAGCAGTCGTTTATACTCATAAATATTAGTATTTAAAAGATAATGTTCACAAGTTAAATTCAACTTATGAGACTTATACCATTCAAGTGATGTAGTCATGCCAATCTTGAATTGTGCAGTCATAAACTCTTTAATTAAGTTTATAAACAAATAGATAGGTATCACCCACATCTTGCGCAAACCAGACGAAGCCAAAACCATAACGAAATAGTAAATGTTTCACATAAGTTGCCCAATTAGGGCGTTTTCTGTCGGCCGTTAACAATAACATTTTATAACATTGTAATGGATACCTACTTGGGTGCATTTGTAGTATTTTGAGCCAGTACTTAATACATGTAATATGATAAATAGTATGCAGGGGAACTCTACTACATTCTGCATTGCCTGTCCTTGTACCCTGCATGTAACAAAAACTTGCAAAACTTTCGATGTACAATTTCAATACTTTCTCTTTTCTCAAAACCCAAGATTTCTGCTCCATATGTTAACATTGGTACAATCTTCTTATCAAATATATTAAAAGCATCTTTAATTGACTCATAACGTCTTATTAAAGACTTAACTGGAAAGAGAGCTTTACTAGCTTGCTCGGATAAAGTTTTACAAGCTCACAATGTAATATTTGATGAAACAATATGAGAAGATATGGTGTCAATACCTCTTCAGCATTTTTATAAAATTCAGACGGAATACCATCGTCACCTAGTGACTTGTTACACTTAAGATGCCTAATATTATTAATGACATCTTGACCTATGAAGTCAGCATTGGTAAACATCAGTCTCGATCATCTGTCGAAACAGATTCCATTGGGCGTAAATGGCAAAATAGTTGTGAAAATTAAATGAATGGATCACTGAAAATCAGTTACGACACAAAAGGGTAAGCTAATAAATCACATTTACCTGTAATCATCCCCCAACCTAGTGTGCAGTCCCCTCGCGGCTGTCTTTCAATTCTTGATACACCATAACGGAGATTTGTTAATATTGCATTTAACGAAATTGCAAAAAGAAATACATTCGCCAGATGAATACATGTACAGAGTTTGTTTGTTGTATTATGGATTCCGAAGATATTCGTCCAGGTTGCAAAATCATATTTCACGTGAAGAAAAATAAAGAAATATCTTGTTTGCAACAAAAATCCAATACATAGAATGTCCATCTCGTTTGTCCGAAAAATGGAGCTTTTTTATCCATTACTCGATTTCTAAACAAACGTTTCAAACACCCGTGAAGAATCGGGTCAGAATAGGTCTTCAGCAGCCCATGCTTGCCGTAAAAGGCGATAACGGTTGTTGCAGGAGGCGCCTAACGAGATCGGGTGGTCAGGCTCGTTGACTTGATTGGTATCCCATCGTAGCCCAAATGCGTGGACCGATGCCCATGACGTCAATTACTGGATTGTCTGGTCCAGAATCAATTATTTACAGACCGCTGTCCAATAGTTGGAACATTGCCGAGTAGGGCCTTAAGCAACAAACCAACAAAGTAACAAAACTTTTTTGTATTATTTCTGGCACTGTGTTGTTTGTATGCTGCCTAATTAACGTCACTTAAAAAAATCTATGCTAGACGGTGCAGATAAGGTATATTTATTGCTAATAGTGACTCTGTCAAATACAAATGCATCCATCATAATATCAGGTCTTGTCACCTCTGAGAGGTTTTTTTAAGTCAGCATTATAATGAGTGTATTCTAACAACCCGGTCGGTTGTTTTTTGAAAGAAACCTTACGAAAACCACAATTACCTTACGATGTGTGACAATGTATCGCGTTTTAAATGAGATCACGAACGAAGTCAATCTATATTTAATACTGGTGAGCAGCATCAATCAATTGATGGTGGTGCTGAATCCGTAACTGATAGCCACTTAAAACGTTTATCAGCAGTTTCCCACAATCCGTTCTGCTAATGATGATCTTTGCAAAAAATAGAATATTTTTGTATGCCTGTGCAATCAATGCAAATGAATAATATCATAATGTCATGCAATATTGATTTTACATGTCCTTGAAATATTTGCACATACGTAAACCAAAGGTGAAATCATGTTTGGAACACAGTATGGGTCTTGTATGCTGGCAAGGTGTTTTGAAAATATTTCCTGTGTACATGTTTACACACTTCAAGTGTTATATGTTCACTGACATACTTGTCTTGTCTTCCCACGAATCCTATTTCCTGTAAATATCCACACAAGCCAAATGTTAATCGTTATCACCAAGGTCTTACGACACAGGTAGGCATGGGTTTGTTCTTCTAACAAATGGGGAACAATCGGAATAAAAGCGACACCATTGCCATGATTATTCGAAATCTATGCCAGTTGGCGTCTGTGCATCACCATCGACCAGCGACGTCACCATCTGCAATAACAACGAGCTCGGTCAGATATGGGTTACCGTGTAATCTTTTTTTGAAGGAATAACAACACACTTTTGGAATTGACCTGAAGTTCATTCAGCTAAACATATCCAGACAAACACTCAAATACTGGTATATATAACAATAATTAGTGAGATCAAACTGACAGACAAATATTATCCTCATGCTAATTGAAATAAAACGAATTTGTTACTTTCTTGTTGATGCAACTTGTGTGCGTGGCGGATGCTACCAGTAGGGAAGGTTGTGTTTACCCTTTTTGTGAACACCTGGTGTCGTCACTGGTTTTGTGTGATCCATTTATATTATTGTCACCGCTATGTTGCCTTTTACGTCCAATGGAATCTGTATCGGTGGATAACCGAGACTGGTTATTCTGTGGCGTTGATCTTTTATGTTTAAACCAAAATATTTTGATTTGTCCTAACCACGCAGGCTTCTTTGCAGAAAATTCGCGGGGAAAAACCCCAGTGAGATCTCTGTAGTCCCGCTTGATAATCTATCAGCCACGATTACTTATCCGAGTTATTTGATTGTATGGTTTTGTATCTTGGTAGGCCTCATATTGAGGCGGTGAGGTGAAACGGGGTTTAACCTCGCGTTCATGATTATTGTACGGTTTTTATAGTGCTAGCCCAGTGACATACCATGACGCAGTCTTGCCCTCAACAATACAGATGTGTACACAGACGTTATTCCCCTACCAATACAATTGTTTGCATGTACATCTTCCCCCCAATACAGGTACACAGACATCTCCCCCACCTATACGGGTGTGTACATAAACACCATTCTCCACCAATACAGTTATGTACACAGGCATCTTCCCCTCACCAAAACAGGTGTGTACAAAGATCTCCCCACCACCTTTCTAAATTTAGGTGGGTACGACGATACACAGTGTGTGCACATAGATATCTTCCCCGAACCAATACAGGTGTGCACATAGACATCTTCCCCCACCTCACTACTACAGGTGTGTACATTGATATCTCCCCCTTACAATACAGATGTGTGCATAAATATCTTCCCCGACCAATACAGGTGTGTACATAGACATCTTCCCCCACAACTACAGGGATGTATATAGACATCTTCTCTCCACCACTACAGGAATGTGCATATATATCTCCCCCCACCAATACAGGTGTGTCCATTGCATATTCCCAAACCAATGTAGGTATGTACATTGATATCTGCCCCCTCACTACAGGTATCTGCATTGATATCTTCCCCTACCAATACAGATGTGTTCATAAACATCTTCCCCAACCAA